GACGCCAAGAGGCCAGGCCTTCTCTCAGGAGGTATCACAGCCGACTGTGATAAACGGGAGCTGCCGCAGGGGGGAGCCCCTGGCCCCACCGCCGCCTCATCGGTCTCTCCCTGTCTCCCCCACAGCATCCTCACTGCCTGCACACACCCCACCCGCCTGCCGCAGCCATAAATCTCAATTTACGAGGGTGGCGCTGGTGGGGGAGGAAGGTAGCGCCGCTAATGACGGCTCCTCAGCCGGATTTTTCATGTTGCACAGTCATAAATTTTTAAGAACAGCATGGGCAGCACGTTAGCGAGTTATCGAGGCTGCCTCTGTGCTGGCTTCCTAGTTCCAAGAGAGCAAGCAGAGTCTGGATAGGGCAGAGGAGGCAAATGGGGCAGGGCTGGGGCCCAGCAGCCAGACTAGTGTGGAGGCAAGGGTAAGGTGGGCCAAGCAGGCAGCTAGCGGGAGCCTTGGCACAGGGTGGGAGTGCTGCCAGAGCAGCTGGGAGCCAGGGACAGGCATGGGTGGGATCAGGCGTGTGGGCACACAGACCGTGGTGTTGGGAGCCTCCGATGGATGCCTCCGCTCCAGGACCTGACACCATGATGTACGGGGAGCCTGAAGACATATGGATTTTCAAAGCGGCCACTTTGAATCGAATTACAAATCCCGACCATGTGCACAATGAGGCGCCTGCCCTGGCAGAGCTGCCCTTGATTCTTAAGCCAGGTGCTTTTTAGGATCGTTCTTGGGAGCTAAGGTCTCTGGAGTCACCGAGAGAGATTCCTAGGGAAATGCCCACAGAGCGGGTGGATCTGTGGATATTCTGGAGCCAGGCTGGCCTCTTGCTAGTTCAGGCTCATCACTTCCAGGTGCGGGTCCTGCGGACGTCATTCACCTTCTTGGACCCCTGGTTCTTCTCTTTAAATTGGGGTTCATGATGGCTCCTGCCTCTCCAGGCTTCCTCTGAGGATTTGAAAGCGCTGTAAAACCCTGAGTACAAGTTAGCTCAGTTGTCTACTTAAATCCCTGGGAGAGTTTTGAGGGGCGTGTCTGGGGAAAAGCTCTCTGCTGGGCATTCGCTTTTGTTCAGTCATTCATTCAGAAGATGTATGTTTACTGAGGTCTTCTGGGTGCCCAGTCCAGTACTGGGTTTTCAGAGGCGAGGGGAGTCGCTTCCTGAGAGGTGGTCTGAGCATGTGTGGCTGCGGTGGGTCAGTGGTCCCCACCCTGTGCCTGGTCTCCCCTTGGGGGCCATGGCGTATCCTGTGCTGTTCGGCCATAGCGCACCTAAGCCTCAGAGTGCTGCAGGGCCCACGCAGGCTCCTCACAAGCCCCCAGGCCAAGTGCTCCCCAGAGTTTCCTGTCTGCATTTGGGGGTTAATGGTCTTGACCATCTCTTGGGAGCACAAAGTCAAGAAATCAGATGTTGCTAAACTCAGCAGAGGCAGTGTGAGTGTGTTTGTATCAGGTGTTCAGGGTGATCCACCAGGACAAATGCTGGTTGTTCGGGGAGAAGAGTGTCTCCCACTGGGCCTTGTTGGTAAAGGGCAGGGCCCTGCCCCTTTTCAAGCCGCGCTCATGTCCCTGTCCCCCAGCACAATGCCCGCCCTCGTTTCCTGGAACCTGTCACACCGTCTCTCACGTAAGGCTTCCCACATTCATTTTTCCCTTGGGCACCCCATTCCCATCCCTTGGCCTAGTTAATACCCACTCATCCTTCGAGCACATCTCAGATTTTGCTTCCCCAGGCAAGTCTTCCTGTCCCCCAGCGTACTCCCTAGCACCCTGCACTCCTTTTACGCACTCTGTCACAGTCATAATTAAGAAATGAGTTGTTTAATGCCTCTCTCCCCCAGTAGATTGTAAGTTCCCTGAGGGCAGGAACTTTCATCTGTTTTGTTCAGCTTGTCTCCCCAAAGCATAACATGGCATCTGACTCATGTAGGCAGATAGTAAGTAAAATGTATTGTTTTTGAATTGAGTTAAATTGAGTTGAGATGGCCCTGGCCCACCCCTGTGTGCCAGGGCAAGGGGAGGCAGATTGAGAAGTGCCTGGAGCTGAGGTGGTTCCCATTAGTCCTCATGATTAATTCACAGCCACACTGTGATGGAGTAGGCTTGTCCCCAGTCAGCAGCTCCGCTGGGGCCCACCTGTTAGCGACAAACAAACAAAGGGGATAAATAATGCATTGGGAGCTGAGCCAGGCAAGGCGGCGGTATTGAAATTAATAGGGATTAGCTGAGCAGCTTGAGGATGAAATATTTACCAGGTGAGGCTGGGCTTAGGGAGGGCAGCCCCACTCTGAGTCCCCAGGCATAGCCAGCCCCGTCTCCAGGGCATCACTGCCTAGGACCAGGAGCCCCAGCTCCATTACTGCTGCCCCCAGTGCCTTGGTTTGCAGGACAGGCTGGTCAGGCTGCTGAGAGCTCGGGTCCCAGCCATCCTCCTGGCACGGCAAGTTTTAGAGAAATCAAGATACTAGGAAGGAGTGGAGGTAGGGAAGGGCCTGGAGCCCGGGTCACTGTAGAAGCTGGGGACGGGATGATTGGTTTTCAGGGCCCAGGCATGTCTAGGCTTCAGGTGGCAAATGCCAGGGCTGGAGTAGGTTCACCTGTGATCTTGTCACCCCGCCCTTCCCTCTTTCTTTTCCTCCATCCTTCCATCCTTCCATTTAATACATACAGACTGGGGCCTCTAACACTAGTGCCCTCAATGGGGGTTGTGGTCTAGCTGGGGGTGACCGAGGCAATCACAATGTGGAAACCCATAGAAGGGGTTCCTAACAAATGTGAGGGCCCATATGAGGGCCCATATAAGGCCCCACAGGAAACAATAGCAAGCCCAGGTTCTGAGGGACAGGAGGAGCGCCAGCAGAGAAGTGGGGAAGTTCCAGGTAGAAGGAAAAGCTGAGAGTGAGGCAGATGGGGACCCAGAGGGCAACCCAGACAGATCCCTGGACTTTCTAAATGAGTTTGGATACTGTCCTGAGAGCAGTGAGGCACTGTTGGAAGTGGTGGTTTGTTTTTTAATTATTAACTCTTAGACTTTTTACTTTGAACTAATTTTACGTTAGCAGAAAAGTTTCTATATATGTTACCCAGCTTTCTCTAATGTTAACATCCTATATAATCACAGTACAGTTATGCGCACCAGAAAATTAATATTAATGCTATACTCTTAACTAAACTAAAGGCCTTATTGAATTTCACCAATATTTCCACTAATGTCCTTCACAGATCATTGAAGGGTTTAAGACAGGGAGAGAAATTCCCAGATTTGTGGTTTGGAGGGACACCATGGAGGAGATTGGCAGGGGCGCTGCTGCCACCTAGGTGACAGATGGTGGTGCCCTGGACTGGGAGAGTAGTAGTGGGAATATAGGTTTAGAAATTATTGGAAATTCATGGTAATTAAAACCTCGGGAGTAGATAAGGTTGCCCAGGAAGAGGGTAGAGAGTCAGAAGGGAAGAGGGCCATGGACAGCTCTGAGCAACACCCACATCTTAGGGGTGCTCAGAAGCAAAGGCATGTACAAAGGAGCTAGGGGAAGGTTGGCGAGAGAGGGGTGGTATCCCTGAGACCAAGAGAAGAATGTTTTGATGTGTAAGTCCATTGGGTCGGATCCATCTAAAACTGAGAAGCTTCCTGTGAAGTCATAGGGATCATTAGAGAAAGCAGTTTGGTGAAGCAGTGGTGAGGGAAGTTGCAGGGTGGAAGAGGAGTGAATGAGACCGTGAGTGTTAACAACTCTGAAATTCGGCTATGAAAGGGAGGGGAGAGGGGGTACCAGCCACATAGGAAAGGATGTTAAAGGGGAGTTGTTTTTAAAGATGTAGAAGATTTTATATATTAACTTGCTAATGTGAAGGAACCAGTGCAGAAGAAACAATTGGGGTTACTCATAATGTCCGGCCCCTGAAAAGGCAGTGGGTTGGATACCAGGTGAGGTGGAGGGAGGGACTTTAGAGGTGACATCAGGATGGGTGCTCTCTTGTAACAGGATGAGAGGAGAGAACTGCACAGATGCAGGAGTGGCTTCTGTACTTCCTGTGAAGGAGACGAGTGTGTGGGTGAGGGGGTCAGGGCTGATGCTGGGAGTAGGGCATTTGAGATTGTAGCAGGGAAAGAAAATTTGAAATTGTCTCTAGGAAGAAAGAGAGAGAGAGTGTGCACACTGACCAGATTGGCTGGGCCATTTTATACAACCAGTTGAGGCTGATAGCTATGATTTTAGGGGTGGAGTGAATCTATATGCTTGTGATTTTTTTCTAATTACAACTCAACCCAAATGCAGGCATAGAGAAGGCAGAGTTTGGGTTTTCCCAGGCAAGGGTGATGGAAGGAAAAGGGGACAAGAGAATTGAGATTATTGGCAAGAAAGGATTGAAATGATGGACCATGGAGGTGGTGGTTTCCTAGTGTGAACATCCTATATAATCACAGTACAGTTATGAGCACCAGAAATGGAATCCAAGTTCCAAAATGAGGTGGATCAGTTATGTCGCTAGGACAGAAATTGATTGATACATATCCAATTCCGTCGTTCTTCTTCCTCACTAAATAGAGCCCCCGTTGAATTAGGGGCAGCAGTGTGTACCTAGTTAAAAAGTTACCTTTTTTAGTTTCTCATACAGTTAGATATAGTTATGTCTCTGTGATAAAAGGAATTATTGTGCGGGACCGCCAGGCACAATACTTAAAAGGAAGTGACTCTCTGGTTAATACATTATTCTTACCTCTTCCTTCTTCCTCTTTCCTAAAATGTGGATGTGGTGGTTGGAGCCCCAGCAGCTATTTTGGACCATGAGATAGCTTGGAAATTAGAAACAACATGCTGAGAGGGGCAGGGCAGGAAGAAGCCCAAGGCTCTGATGACTTTGTGGAGCTGTGGAGCTTTAGTCCACTGAGATTGCAAGCACAGACTGGAAACCTTTCTTAGTGAAGTTGTATTTTCTTTCCTCTCTGTTTTCACATGGGCTCCCACTAAACTGCACTCTTTTTGCCTTTTTAGTAACATGGACTGTATCCTGAGATACAGCAGGAAACAACTTGATCGTATGTATAAGAGCTATGACTGAAATATCAGTGTCCTCATTGACCTTTGCCCTCCCTCCTCTACTCAGCCAAGTTGACATTGTAGGGCCCATTTGTTATACCGTTCTCTTTTCTGCCTGTACATTCTGTATCAGTTAGTATGCTTTCGGCTACCAGAAGAAGGAACCCAATTTAAAATACCTTAAATAGGCAGGGGATCTATTACCTCACAAAAGTCTGGGAGTGAGGAGATCCTCGGGTTGGTTGACTCAGCATCTCGGCGGCGTCAGCAAGGACCCAGGGTTTCCTTTTCTTCTTCTTTTCTTTTATCTTCAGTGTGTTCTTGGCAGGCTAACTCCCCTCCAGGTTGGAAGGTTGGGAGATGCTACTGCAGTCTCAGGCAGGTGCAAACATGCACACGTGAAAACGCCCACAGAATATAAAGGGCTGTGCCCCTTGGGCTTCTCTTTTTAAGAATGAAGAACGTTTCCATGAAGGTCTTTAGCAAGTAGCCAGAACCCTTGGTCACCCCTAGAGTAGAGACTGGCCAGGGAAATAGGGTCACCACAAACGGCTCAGGCCGCGGAGCATTCGCCCTGGTCACATGCGTGAGGAGTGGGCTTTCCAGCTTGGCAGAGGGGCAGGGCTCTTGGGTAAGCAATCAGAAGTGGACAGGGGAAAAGGTGAAGGCAGGAGGGGTGAAGTATATGGAGAAGCAGAGTTGTAAATGGGTTCAAGTGACATGGAAGAAAACATGTTTTATCATCAGAAACTAGGAATATTTGAATTTAATATTTCAAAGGAGGAGCATTAGAGGATGTTGAAAAGGTTGCAGGTGTGATTGTGGAAATGGTGGAAGTAAGGTACAACAGACAAGGTATTCGTGCTGAAGTCAGAGAACCAGGAGGCTGGCAGCAAGTTTCTCAAAGGACAGGAGGTAGAGGCTGTCACAGGCAGTCTCAGGAAGGGGGTGGCCGGGTCTGCACATGCTCACACGGAACCCTCCAGGTAGGCTGCTGGCACACAGCCTAGCCTCTCTATCTCCCGGGGCCCCCATTTTGGAAAGCATCTGCCCTGGTTAGTCAGACCATTAAGGAAGCAGGTGAGGACCCCCAGAAGACAGTCCTACAGGAGACTCCTGGGGGACAGGTTGCAGTGGAAGCTTGGTTGGGGCAGAGGTAGCTGCCAGGTATGGCGGATGTGCTCAGCTGGTCTCAGTAGCCACCTCCGTCCCTGGCCAGGTCCTCTTCACTTAGCTGACCTGGCTATCCTCTGGCACTTCTAGCTGTGGCACCCCAGAGCAAGGAGGAGGGTGAGGCTTCTTGCCCCCTCTACCTGGATGGGGCCTTGGCTAGAAACAAGTGGGGGGAGGCGGGCACCATTATAATGGCCGAGCAGCCTCCCTGTTACTACGGTGTATTTCACTTTTAATTCTGACATATAATGTAATGATCTTTTTTAAGGCCCGATGATATTATCTGCCTGACTAGATTATTGAGTCTTCATCATCTCCAGATAAATTTATGGCCAGGACGAGGCTCAGGATTTATCATCAGTCAATAGAGCTCGATACTCTAACAAGGCGTGTAATAAGATATACATATTTAATGATCCAAGGGGAGGAGCGCTAATGGGAGCCCGGAGTGAGTGGTCCACGGGGCTGGGCTCTGCCCTAGGGCTGCCATAGCAGTGAGGGCATGGATGCCCTGTGGTCCCAACTCTGCCTTTCTCAGGACTGCCTCAGTCTCCTCCTTATCGGGACCCTGAGGGAGAGGCAGCGCGAGGGACAGTCTCAGAGCTGGGCCCGAGACCTCTCCAGCCCAGAGGGTACAGGCGCCTCCCTGGGGAACTCTCCCTGTTTCTGGGCCATGGAGGGCTTGGGGGTATCCTTAGACCTGTATACCCAGGCCCCTGCGCACAAGGGCGGGCCCACCAGGGGAGGGAGTGCCGGGGCTGCGTGCCCAGGCCGCTGATGGTGACGGATGGTTTTTCATTACAGCCTCTCAGGTCCTGCCCGCGCCCTGTGTGGAAATTCTATTTATTCCCTAATTTGTAAAAATTCCCTCTTTATCTGATCCCAATCAGGGCGGGGTAATTGGCTCTCTGGGGCAGCGGCTGGGGTCCTTGATGAAGAGCTATGTGGATGTACCCAGCCCGGCCCCCGCCCGGCCCGCCACCAGGGCCCACAATTAATAATGATTTGCAAATGGCAGACAAGCAATAACACAGAAGGATGTGGCGTCCGCGCGGCCTCTTCATTTCCTCCCCTTGCAGATATAAATGGCCATGGAACAAAAACCCAGCGCTGTAAATCCTGGAATTAGTTATTCACCGGGATAAATGGGCCTGGAGCCACCAGCCCCCTCCTGCCACCCTTCTTGCCTCCTTTCCCTGAGCCAGGTCTGTATCCCCAGGTGTGTTCCGAGCCTGGCCCCTGGCTCCTCAGCATCTTTGTCCCCCCGACTCAGTTCCCCGGCTTCCTCCTAGCCCCTTCCCACAACTCTAGCTGTTGTGTGGCCCAGAGTGGGGCATGGTCACCTGCTCGGGGTCTGTAGCTTCCTCAGCCTCCAGCTCCTCTCACTGACCAACCTGGGTTCTGTCCCCACTCTGCACTGGGATTTGAATGGAGTTGACATACCCTGCCAGGCCTGGGAGTTCCAATTGGGTTGGTCTTGGGCATCCTCTTTGGCTTTGGGGACCAGTCTAGTCATTTGCCTGGCTAAGTCTGAGTTGGGCCCCTGGTGACCAAATGTGATGTCAGTGACATAAGGGGTGTGATGCTGTGCTTACTGGTCAGGCTGTTATGGGATATGTTGGCACATGCATTTCCGGGCGCTCTGCCCTCTCGGCCAGGCGCATCCTCCCCACCCCCCAAGTGGCTGTGAGCTGGCGGGTAATGGGCGTGTAATGGCCTCATTTCCATGCCCGGCCTCCAGGAGCAGCGGTAAGTGTTTGATTGCCTTAATTTCCAAACACATCATTATCCCAGCTTTACCAGCGCTTAATAAACACTTTATGAGGATTTTTTTAAAAACATCTTCGGTCCGCATACTTCTCTGAAGTGATAAACTCTAATTAAGTCTAATATTTAAAAATATGGTAATGGTGAGTTGTTTGAATAAGTGGACTGCATTTCTGTAATTTCATTATTACGTAAAGCACGCTAATTATTTGGAGCGCGCTTATTATGGAGAGAGAAATCGCCTGCTAATCAAGATGAAATTGCCTTTTCCCCTTATTGTGGAACCACCGTCATCCTTCACCATCAGCCCTGTGGCACCTCCAGGCACCTCGGTGGGATGTAGGGGGGTGAGGGGGGCACTGAAGAAGGGGTCACTTTGGAGTTGAGGCTCTAAGGGCCCTGTCTGGGGGGAGGGAATGGAGAGATGGAGTCTTTATCTGGAGGGGAGTGTTACGTGGAACAAGGTGGCACTGTCTGGGGGCCCAGAGGACTGGGGGCGTGTCTGGGACAAGAAAGGGGTTAGGAAATATCAGAGTGTTACTGTTGGAATAACAGTATTATTATTGGTTATTATTAGAGTAACAGCAACAATAATAACTAACCCAGCCACTGTTTTAAGCACTTGACAAAAACTCATTTCATTTTTTTAAAAACCCTTTGAGGGGAGTAATTGCTATAATTATCATTTTTATTCCCATTTTAGAGAAGAAGAAATCGAAACTAGAGAGGTTCACACAGTTGTTAAGTGGTGGCATTTGGATTCGAACCCAGAATATAAGGACATACAGGATCCCTCTGCTGGTTCAATCCTAAATTCACTGTCTTCCCTGTGAGCTGCAGTTTGCTGTTGTATCCTGAACTGACCCAGCTGTAGCTTAGGGTGCTGGCCCCCAGCGGAGAGTTGCCAATTTAGCAAATAAAATATAGGACACCAGTTAAATCAGAATTTCAGATAAAAAAATAATAATTTTATATATATATTAAATTTTATAATTTAATTATATATCTATCTATGTATCTATCTATCTCGGGTGGGGCTGGGGACATATTTAATCTGGCAAGCCTATGTCAGGCAGGTGAAGATCGACCCACCGGCCCTTTGCTCTCCAGCATGCTGCCCAGATGTCCAGACAAGCAGACAGATGTGGCGGTAAAACGAGCTTTTAGAAAGTCTGCACACTCAGGGCTCTTGCTCACTAATTCTTCCCATCGTTCCTGCTCCTTGCACTGTTCTTCCCATCCCCTCCTTGCTGGTCCCTGCTCCACAGGCTCTGGCCCCACTCCCAACCAGCTCCTGGAGGTCACTGATCAGGTGTGCTCCCAGGCTGAGCTTGCAGCCAGGAGGCCTCAGGTTGTGTCTGAGTCGTGTTTAGGCCTCACTGCCTCATGTTTTCAAAGGTCATCAGCTTGTCTCTCTGCTGCCCTGATGTCCCCTTTGCCTCTTTGATCATTTCACGTTCATTCTCTTTTCCTGACTCTAATAGACCCACGTATGGGAATTGTGTGTGTACTGGTATGACAGGTATCATATCAAAAGGGCGAGGAAAGTGCAGGTAGTCAATCCATGGTGATAGAACAAGTGGCTATCCACTAGTGAGAAAATAAAGTTAGCGCTTCTGTTTCTCACCACATACAAAATAAACTCCAGGCAGTTTAAAAAGTTAAACATAAAAACAAGGTATTAGAAGAAAATATATAATGGTTTTCTAATAATACCAGGATAAGGAAGGCCTTTTTAAGCAAGATATAAAGCCTAGAAGACATAAAGGAAATGTCTCATAAGTGTAGATGTCCCATAGGAACCTCAAGACTTAACACATCCGGAGCTAAGTTCATCACTGACCCCAACCTGCACCCTCTCTTGGTTTGCCTTATCTCAGTGAGTGGCACTAAGATCCTGGACTCCTCCCTCCAGCCTGCCAATCCCCTCAGGGGATTGCTCATCCCCTGCTAAGGCTTGCTCATCGTATTTCCTGAAAATCTCTTTCCTCCGTCCACTTCTCCAGATCACCAGTAGACCTCCACCTCTGCCGCCACTGGCCTAGTTCTGGCCTCCACTTCTGGCCTGGACCACAGTACAATCTGCTGATTGGTGTCTCTGCCTTGAGGGTTAGTCCCTCCATCCTCAAATGGTCATTCTGAAACATAGATTTGTTCCTTTCATGCTTCTCCTTAGACATGTTAGTGTCTCCCTGTCATTCCCAGAATAATAAAACCTTTAGTTTCTTAGCTTCTCATTTGGGACTATCATCAGTTTTCTCTAGCCAGTCCCTGCTGGCCTCACTAGCTTCATCTCTTGCCACTCCCCTGCCTCTTATTCTTCATCACCCCACCACCACCACTTGCTAAACTTCACATTTCCCCTCCAGAATGTGCCTATGCTGTTCACTATGCAAGGACACCTCCCCAACTTCAACCCCAACATGCTGGCGAGCCCCGCCCATATGCCCCTCAGACCTCTGCTTAACTTTGTCCTCCCTGGAACCCTTTTCTGATCCTCAGACTGAATGAGGTCCCTTTTCTGGGCCTCCTTTTCTCATAGCACTGTTCAAACTGCACCACCTACAGGTCTGTCTCTGAGCTCTTCGAGGACAGGGAGCTACACTCTGCGCAGCCCTCTGGCCACCGTGGCCCGTGTGCACCCAGCACACAGAAGGTGTCAGTGTGTTTGCTGAATTAATGAGCACACAAATGAATGACCTCCAAGACATTCCTTAGCCCTCTTCCCTCCTAGGGGTAGCGTGGCCCAGGTCCTGCTTCCTGTCCTCTGCTGTTCAATTCCCAAACAAGTGCAGCGAACCATGTCAGCCCGGTGAGCTCTCACTGGGTGTCCTGATGGCCAGAGCTACCCTCCACTAGCGGCTCCTTTGCCCAGCAGAGACAGGGCTATCCTTGGGCCAGCCAACAAGTTATCCTTTGTTAGGTGCTAGCTCTACTCACCTGTCTGGGGGATTTATGCTGCCATACCCCTCCCATTGTGGTCTTGGCAATATAAAAATATTTTCAACATTAAGAATATGAATGCCCATAAAAAGAAGAGAAGAGGGTCATTTTTTCCACAAGTTGATGACCCTGCAAGAACATAGAACAGGTTAGTCTTCTAGAACTTGGAGGTGAGGAAGACCTGTTCTTGGAGGCCTTCCGTGTGAGCACTAGGCTGTGACCCAGCTCTTCGTGTCCCCCACCCCATAACAGCTCCAGGCTCACCTCATTAGCTCAGTGAGAGGTGCCAGAAGGTGGGGCTGCTGCCCCAGGTGGCCCCGGGACCTCAAACAGAGGACTCCCTGCTGCTGTCTCTCTGATCTGTTAAAAGACCCAGATCTGTCTCTGTGCTTCTGCCCAGTTCCCTCATTTTCTAGCCGTGCCAGTGACTGTTTACACTGGTCAGTAAGTAGATTGCGTGGACTTTTATGAAGGCTTCCAGGGCAGAGAGCGAGTCTGTGCTGGAAGCCCGAAGTGCTGTGCCACTGACTCTGGGGGAACTGAAGCAAGTGCCTCCCCATCCGGGCTCCTCTTTCTTCATGTCATAGACCAGTCGCAACAACGAGACTCCACAATTCCCAGTAAACAAGACCGGAAGTCAGTCCAAGTGGGTGAAGTGAGTGATGGTGGGTTTCATCAGGTGTGCCAGCCCACGTCATCCATGCCATGGATTGTCCATTATACACTTTCTCACCATTGGGTCATCCAGAAAGCTAGCATCCCTGTTTTCCCTTCAAGAAGAGGCATTCCAAACAGAAGGCACGTGCAGAGACCCGGTGCATCACCTGTTACTCCTCATAACCCTGAAGGCGCATCCACTGTCACCTGAGGCTCAGAGAAACCAAGCAGGGCTGTCGCCAGTGGGCAGAGTTCAGACTTTAAATCTGTCTAACTCCAGAACCTACTTTGTCATTTTCAGAAAACAGTAAGTGGTTCCTTGACATGGGAAGATAGAGGTTAGGACTTCAAAGAGGAAAGGAGGTGACCAGGTTTGTGTAAGAAAGATCCCTTTGCCAACAAGAGAATGAATTTGAGGGGGAAAGAGGACAAGTTATTGCTGTAAAAGCAAGGAATGGTGTGCTGGTCAAGGCAGTGACTGCCAGATTGACAGGAAGTAGGTGATTAGACAGAAAATAAGAGTCTATAGTTCACACTTGATTAGATGTGGGGAGTGAGGGAGAAGGCCAGGTGTCAGGCCTGACTCAGATTCCTTGTTTGGGCGTTTGGGGGTGCCTTTCACTGGGATGGAGAACACGGGGGAGGAAACCAGTTTATTACTGGACGTTTTGAGGTTGTATGGAGATCTAGAAGGAGATGTTCCAGAGCACTTGGGTCTGTGGTCTGAGCTCAGGAGGGAGGTCCAGGCTGCAGACGGTGATCCTCGGGGAGCTGACGTTCCTCATGTGAATGAAGCCGTGTGTAGTCAGAAGAGGTCAAGGACAGAGGCTGGGGCACAGGGGTCTTCTCCCAGCTCAGGGCCACGCACAGGTAGGAGGTCAGTGCTTGCCCTCTGGATGGCCAGTGGCCTGGGGGCAGGGGCCGGGCACTTCCACTTGGGCCAGGGGAGGCAGATTGAGTGATTTGTCCAGCACTGAGGGAGGAGCCAAATGAAGTCAATAGAAAACTAATTTTCTTTTCTGCTGAAAGAAATGAGGTGTGTGGCCGCTGGGTAATTGCAGATAACGAGGGGTCTTATTCTTAATATGCAGAGCGGCTATGGTCCCGAGTACAGGAGACAGGAAGGATTGGAGGTGCCCGGACAAGACCAGACTTCTTTAGGAAGAAAATCACCGAATCAGAGTTCCTCTGATGGCGTGATCACAGCCCTAGGCCCTATCATAAACTCTCCCCCCTCCCATGGTCCCTCCTACCCCAATCCCACACCCGCCCCTCCTACACCGCCCTTCCAGCCCCATTCCCCTTCCTTTCAACCGCCTACCTCCTCCTGTCACAACCCCCTCCCTCCACTCTCCACCCCCACTGCCCAGGCATACACACTAAGGGAGACAAATGACAGGGCCTCCGATGAGCGGGGTGTGTGTCCGGCCCATAAACCACGGGGATGGGTCACGTCTGGAGTTGCCATGGCCGCCACTACCCACCCATCCGTCTTCCCTCTTCTGCTTCAGACCAGCCCTTGTAGCTTCTTGAGTCTCTGGAGGAACAAGGTGTCCCTGTGACTAAGCCCTCGGTCACACCTCTCCATGCTCACACGTACCACCAATACTTTCATGGTGAGCTCTGCAAGACAGGGCCCAGTCTGGACTAAGCAGGGGCTGCAGAGCTGGTGACTGGCTAATGATACTGGCCCTGGCCTGACCAGAGACTTCTCACAACCATTTTAGCTCTGGTGGGTCCCCTTTCCTAGTCTAAGGTCCTGGCAAGGGCACGTTGAGGGACTCAGTGGAAGGGGTTGGTCCTTGGCAGCTGTGGAGCCTCCTGACCCCACCTTGACCTTACCACCTCCCATACCTGATTATGACATCAATGTGCAATACTTCTGCCATCACAACCATCGATCCCATCAGGGCTGGTGGCAGCTGAGCCCTGATTATGGGCTGGGAACGTCTATGGGAGGTGGGAGAGGGGTGGGAGGAGAAGCTGGCGAAGGGATCAGGAGTTGGTGGCTGCTCTGGGCAGTGGAAAAGAAAAACCCAGGCCCTTGGGCCATTTCTGTCCTGGGCTTACTATAGTGGGACAAGCTCTGGGAAGTTGTATCTCCTGCTGGTGATGACAGAACACATCCTGACCCATGTCCATGATACTAAAGCCCCGGAATACCTGTTCCTGTGACCACCAGGGTTCTGGGACAGCTCTGAGTATGGGGAACAATACTAGTGAAATTGCCCGACAGGGTCTGGCAGACACAGACACATTTAACCTGAGCCACAGCCAGACAGGGCTAAAGCCCTCCCAGCACCAGCTTTGAGCCTACTGGGGTAGGAGAGGCAGGGCTTGGGCTCAGGTGTGTCCAATAGAAGGTTAATGGCCAGGGCGTTAGGGAACCAGGAACCTGGACCCCCTCCACTGGTCTGGGACTGCACAGGAGGAGGCTCCAGGCAGGTTGCTGTTTGAGCACCTGAGCCTGGGGCCCAGGGCAGGTGTCTCCCAGGGCCCTGGCCCAGAAGTGCCGAGGCTTGTGCCTTGTCACCAGTGATTATGGCCTGGGCCACATCTTCCACACACGAAAGTGGCGGCAAAGTCACCCTGGCCGTGGGCGTGATGAATGGCCGCACAGTAATGAAATGGAGACATCAAGGCGGGTGGCGGGAAGACGGAGTGTGGCGGACAAGCCGTCCCCACGCGGCGGCAACAAGAAGGATCGCCCAGCGGCCGGGGGCCGTCAAGGGAGAAATTACACATTTACTCTGCCTTTTTCTTACTGCGACGGCGCCCATACATCACCACTGGGGCCGGGGCGGGACACGCCGGCCAATTTCCAGCATGAATTATGGGACTGAGAAACATTGAGACCAGGCTTCCTGCCCGGCCAGCATCATCCAGCCTGACCTAAAGCTGGAGATGCTGCCACAAGGGAGTGGGACCCCCTAGTTTAAAGTCTGGCTCCTGAATCTGACCCTGCTTCCCACCCCCACCCATGTAAGAGCACCTATGGACAGGGAAGGGAAGGATCTGGGGCCCATCTAAATGTCTTTTCTTTCTCATTTTAGATGACTGCAAGAACATTGCCAACATCATGAAGACACTTGCATATCGAGGCTTCATCTTCAAGCAGACCTCGAAGCCGTTCTGATTGGCCGAGAACGGGATGGGGCAATACAGGGTAGCTGCTTGGCCCAACCCAGAACCCTCCTCTCCCTCACCAGAGGGGAAAAGGGAGAGTGGCACAGCTCTACGTCGAGTGTCCCCAGCCTGCCCTGCGGGCTTGTGCCCTGGGTAAGAGCTTGGCCACTTGGTCCCTCTGGAGCAGATACTTTGTGGCCTCCCATCCCCATCCCACAACCTCAGCCCAGTATTAGCCCCTCCCATTATGGGCCTGGGCTAGGGGGACCCAGGCACTTACTGCCTCTCCCTGGTACACAGGCTTCTGCTGGGGTCACCAAGCCCCCTGTGCCCCCTCCCATCTGTAGTGCATGGTGTGTGGTGCCCCCAGGGCTCCAGGACAGATCTTATGTCCACCCCATCCCCGCTGTGAACGTGCCACTGAATAAAGTCGGGGAAATGAGGCCCTGGGTAATGTGTGCACCGACCATGCTGTGCCTGATGCTGTCAGGAAGGGGAGGAGCTAGTGCGTTCCAGGCTGCTCTGTGCTCAAGGCCACCAGTGCAGCTAGTTGTCACTGACGTATCTCTGAGCCCCCCCAATGAATATGCACAGGACCACAGCCACTGAGAGCATGAGGCTGCTTGAAGCTGCTGGTATCTGAGGCCATGGCTGCATGTGAGCCACCTTGAATGTAGAACCCAGGTGTTCCTAGGCACAGGTGTTTGGGCAACATGGGCAGTGCTTAATGGGTAGAGGGCTGCTAAGGGCCTCCATGCCAGTAGGCCCCAATGCCACCCATAAAGTAAGTGTGACAACTCCCTCCTGCCCACCCTCCCAGCCAGGAGCGGCAGAAATGGTGGGAAAGAAACGGAAGCAGCCCAGTCCACTCAGCAGCTCTATTTACACAGCAGCAGCATCCACAGCCGGTGTGGTCCCTCATGGCTTCTTGGCTTTCTTCACAGAAGAGGAGCTGGAGGCCGATTCCCGTCGCTTCCTCTGAGGATACATAGATGATGATGAGATCTATGGCCAGCCCCTGAGGCCTGATTCAGGCTTGGTGCCTGTGTCTCACACTGGCCACCCACCCACACCCGCCCTGAGTCTCCACCCCTCAGAGTGACAATTCCCATTGCAGGCACTAGAGGGAGCAAGCCTGTGCACACGTGAGCATGCTCATATGCAGGGCCAGTTCATACTCTTCCAGCTTGTCCAGGCTCTTACCGAATTGGGCGTGAGAGGTGCACCCACCACATCAATGATGGTGTCCTTGGTGAGGTCAGGGGTGAGACCAGATTCAGGTACCGCTGACTCAGCAGAGGCCGGGGCCGGGCCTGATGCTGGTGTGGCAGGGGCCCCCAGCACGCCAGCCCGGGCCAGTGCCTCGTGACGGTGCCGCAGCATCTGCAGCTCATACTCGCAGTTGGCACAGGCCTGCTTGAGCTCGTAGAGCAGCACCAGGTCACTCCGCAGCTCATTGAACATGTGCACCAACTCCTCCGTGGGTGTGGGGCTCAGTTCTGCAGGTGGTGGGTGGAAGGCACAGGGCAGAGCCAGGGTGTGCGGGAAGGCTGGCAACAGGAACCGCCCTCCCCCTGCCTTTATCCACGGCCTCGGGAGGGTCCATCCTGAGGGGCCCAGCCTCCACACTCACCCACACCCAGCTCCAACAGCATCTGTTCCAAGGCCTTGATCTTCTTCTGCCCCACAGAGCTTGGCAGCTTCATCTGCAATGACCCAGCAGCTCAGCCCTCTCCCCCACAAGCACCTTAGAATGAAGGGGACTAACGGCAGTGGGGGGGTGGAAGAGAAGTTAACCCCTGGAGGCAGCTCTGGGTCAGAAAAGGAAATAGCCAGCAAGTGGAAGCTATGACCTCAGCCTGGCCACATCCCCGAGGCCCCCTCTACCTGCAGCACATGGCACACCCTCTCCTCCTGCTCCAGCCCAGGGTCCAAACACATTGAAGGAAGTGACACACATACCCGCTGGCTCCTCAGCGTGACACCTGCAGACTTGAAGTCTGGAAACTTGATGCCTGCAGTCTCAGGAACAGCCTGGGGGAGGAGGAGTTAGGAAGTGTCACGGGGAGTGGACCTAGTGTTAGTCCCAGCACCTGCCGGCTCTAGGTGCTCTCGGAGCCTCCCACAGGATCCCCTGTGCCAGGCGACCCCTCCACCCTGAGCTGGGCTGATTTAGTCTCCACACCGGCTTCTCGGCCTCCTTTTTCTGGGGTAGCTTCTTCTTGGGGGCCTTGCGTTCAGTGCGCCGTTGCTCTGCAGTGGTGTCGGCCGCCGTTATCAGCTTCTGCAGGTCCTGACTGCGCTTCTCCCGCTCCTTCTTCCGGGCCTCGATCTTGCGCAACTCCTGTAGCAAGTACTCCTCCTCTGCCACCTGGGAAGGTGAGAGACGCTAAGGCACGTGCAGGTCCATGGGGGAGGGAGGGTAGACGGAGATGAAGGGGTGCTGGGCTCTGGGGGGGAATCTGAGAAGAGATCATGAGGGAGGTGAAGGACTATCAGAGCAGGGAGGGTGGCTAGTGAGGGGTAGGACTGGGGTGGGGGCGCACACAGGTACCAACCAGTGGGAGGTAGGGGGACTTGGGGAAGAGAATTGAGGGTATTGAGGATGGAAGCAATGGATTTGGAGGCATGGAGGAGAGTTTGGGGGCTCAGGGCTAACCTGCTCTGGGGTCCGGTTATAGAGGCGCTCCAGCTGTTCCTTCCGCCGTCGCTCATGCCCAGCATCAAATACTGGTATCTTAAGGTCTGTGCCTGGCACAGCCCGCACATTGGCAAGCTTAGCACAGATGTGGTAGTATCTTTCCTTCAAGTCCTCCACAGAACGCTTCTGAGAATAAAGACATGGGGGATGGGCTGGGCGGGGGGACACTCAGAGGCATGTGCAAGGGCTGGCCTGAGAGCAGTGGGCCTGCTAGGCCTGGGGTTAGGCACACATGCCAATGAACACCAGCTCACCTTGAACTGCTGGTGGTCATACCGGTCATGGATAACTACAAAACGAAGATCAAAGCGGCGGCTGAGATCGAAGAGGTGGTCAGTTTCTGCTTTAGTCCAGGCGTCGTCATGAAGATAGAGCTGGTACTCCTGCTCTGAGTACACGGGCACCTGCACCGTCTACTGGCACAGAGGGGCAGAGCGGTGTCATGTCCAGTGGGCTCCAGTCTGCTTTGACCACAGCCCCTCTTGTTTATTGCCAATCCCTGGGCTAGACAAAAGCAAATCCTCTGCCCGGGCCTTGCACAGGCAGCCTGGAGACGGTGCTCCCAGAGTGAGGGAAGGAACTGCTTGATCAGAGGCCGGGGCAGCCTGCCTCTGCGTTCACACCAGGAGCCGCTTCACCACGCCCTCGGCTCCACAGCCCCAGTAACCGCACACATGCTCCTGCCCCCGTGGTTAAGGTGACAGGCCCACAGGTAAGCACTTCTGTGGAGTCCAAAGGTCAAACATGGAGGGGGGCAGATGGCTAAATACTGGGAAAAGGCCGACTCCTCTCGTCCATGGACACTTGTCTGAAGCACGCCTGCCATCCAGTGGTGGCAGTGAGACTTGCAGTTCCCCCGAGCTGGCTAAGGTCACAGCTCTATAGAAAAGGCACCTGAATCCTACCTTCCAACATATGCACCCCAGCCCAGGCCGGTCCCCTAGACCTCCCTCAGGGACAAGCAGCACCACCACCAGCTGAGTCTGCCAGTCAGAGACCCCATGAAAGAGTCAATGCCAGGTTGGACCAGGGAAGTTTCTCTATCAAAAACCACAGGGCTCTGAACCTGCTCTCAAGACACTTAATTCCAGCTGCCTCTTGAAATTCTGTGGAGGTTCCACATACAACTTAATATGTTCAAGTGACCGATATTAACAAGACTCATTGTGGTGATCATTTTGCAGTATATACAAATATTGAATCATCATGTTGTACGCCTTAAACTAACAATGTTATTTGTCAATTACACCTCAATTAAAAAAAATAAAAACTTAGTACGTTCAGTACTGAGCACATCACCCTCCCTCAAACTTACATCTCCTCCAGTCCAGATGTCAGTCACAGTCCCATCACTCAACCCAGGTGCCCAAGCCAGAAACCGGGGAGGCATCTTAATTCCTACCTTTACCCTTGACCCCCCCTCACCCCCACACCCTCCGCGCACACAGTGAGGGAAGAAACTGCTTGATCAGAGGCCCGGGCAGCCTGCCTCTGCGTTCTCTATCCTCTGGAAATTCTATCCACTGCGACATCCCAGTCGAGATCACCACTACCACTTTCCTGGATCAGAGAAACAGCCCTCCCATGATCTCTGCCTCCATTCAGCCCTCCCCTAAGCAATTCTCCATCTGCAGCCAAGATGGATCTCTGAACAGTGCTTCTCAGAGGACAGCCTACAGGCCAGTGCTGTCTGCACACTGTTATCCCTGGTGTATGGTAAGAAAGCAGAGTAGGCACTTAGAAACCTCTGTAACAATTTTACAGTAATCACACACTGCTGAACCTGACAGAAGGAAACGCGGACTTGTATTTTCTCTAATCTTTTTTTAAATACCCTTTACCATGGATAACTTGAGAAGCATTCTAGAATATATATCTGAGCAGGCCACCCAGCCATCCATTTTTAAGCCCCTCAAAGGCTGCCACTAGTCCAAAAGTACCCTAAACTCGAGAGTAAGGGTTGTCTGGTTCATTTCCTACCTTTTGGGTTCAGCCCAGGGCCAGGCACTCTGCAGATATCAATGAATATTTACTGAATCAATCAGTGAACCCAGGGGTGAAAGAGCCCTCTCTGCACCCATTGTCCCTCCTGGACCTTAAGTTCCAACCAAATGACTAGCAGTGATGTCTCCCTCCGCTTTCGTTGTTCTTGCCTGAACTATCTTCACATTTCCCCATTCCTTCTTCCTAGATAACTTCTTGTCGCCTCTGGGAAGTCTCTGGTTTCCCAGGTTTGGTTAAGTGTCCCTCCTGTGCATTTCAATGCCATGTATTTTAATAAAGTACTCAGGAACTGTGTAGCCAGTCCTGCTCTCAAGGAGCTCACAGTCAAGTGAGGGAGCCATTCATTCATTCAACAAACATTCATCATGGGCCTGCTAGACCTCTGCTGGGAACAGGGATGGCAGTCCAGCTGAAGAAACAACACAGTCGTCTAATGACAAAGGTATGCCTGGGGTGTAATGAGTGACACCTGATCCAGCCTGGGAACAGGGTTGGTCAGGGTGGAGGTAAATGAGGCCTGGTTCAGTCTTAAGGTCAAGCAGAAGTGAACTGGTGAGGGAAGATGGTGGAGAAAATCCGAGGCAGAGGGAGCAACATAAATACAGTGATGAGCGAGAAACAGCCTCATGTGTGCGAGCTCGGCAGTTAGGGACACAAGTAAAGGGCGACACAGGGAAAGGCATGAAGAGTCAGCATAGACCAGCTGCTGCAGGCCTCGTGTGCCCTGAGGGTGACTGGAGCCAACAGGTCAGTTTTAAAGAAAAGAGTGAAATGGTCATGATTCTCTTTTGCAAAGAGCACCCTGGCAGCAGTGAGGACAGACGGGGTGAAATGAGAGCCTGGGAGACTAGCTGGCAGGTTTTAGAATGCATGCAGGTAAGAAGTGAGGCCTGAACTAAATCAGCACAAGTGGAAGGTACAGAAAAGGGCACAGGCTTGAGGCTTTAAAAACCAGAGGACTTGGCAACTGGATGTGCAGGGGGGAGGGAAGTGCTGTCGCTGGTGACTCCTGTGTTTCCGGCTTGAGCAAGAGGGCAGCAGGGAGCCATGGACTAATAAGCAGGACTCCAGGACTCAGCAGTATTGGCGGGAAGATCATTTGTTCACTTATCTCTGACTTCATTCACCACCTGTGGTCATCATGATCTTTCTAAAACTGAAATTTAAAATTTGTCTGGCTACCCAAAGACATCAGGGCAAAGCCCAAACTCCCGGGCCTGGCTGCCTGACCTGGCCCTTCATCTCCCACCATGTTCTACCTTGGGCTTTAGGCTTCATCTACATGGAAATGCCCACAGCACGCCATACCTGTGACTGCTTTTTGTTGTTTGTTAATCCTCACCCAAGGATATTTTTCCATTGATTTTTTAGGGAGAGTGGAAGAGAGAGGGAAGGACAGAAACATCGATGTGAGAGAAACACATTCACTGGCTGCCTCCTGCCTGAGCCCCAACCAGGGCCGGGTTGGGGAGGAGTCTGCAACCTGGGACCTTTGGTCCACAGGCTGATGCTCTATCCACTGAGCCAAACTGGCTAGGGTGTGACTGCTTTTAAATTTGTACCTTTTCCTCATGCTATCCTCTCTGCCTGAAAAAAATCACTGCACTACTTTCTTAATATCATCTGGTGACATCTTTCAAGACTCAACTCAAGCTCTAACTTCAGGAAGCTTCCATGAAGCTTCGACTATAGCATGCATCCTACCAAATCATGATTGCCTATTCCTCTCCCAACCCCTCCCTAACAACACGTACAGTTTCTGGAGGGTAGACATTGTGTCTGATTCATTTTTGTGTCCCCAGTGCCTAGGGCCTGGCTTGGCATGGAGTGGTATTTATTAAATGCAACATGAACATTCTTTTGTCTTCACTTCGAATTGTCTCATCCAACCTTTCCTCCCATTGCCTCAATGCCTCACTTCTGATTGTCCCTTCTCGATCTTACATCTTCAGCCTCTCCCTCCTCTGGACCTGGGGTGGGGCAAGATGGCGGGAAGATAGAAAAAACCAGGTTTGGGGCACAGGGGAGAATGATGGGTCACACCTGGATGTGCTGTGCCTGAGAAGCCACCATGGGGAAGTATCCAGAGCAGTGGGATATATCAGGCTGAGGGGAAAGAAGTCAGGACTTGGGAGGCCTGGGTTTAAGCCCCTCATGCTTTCAGGCTCAGAGCCTCGGCTGCTCCAGGCTGCAGGGAATGCAAGGTCATATTGTACAGTGGCTTAAGCAGAGGCCTAGAAAACCCTTGCCCAGCCCTGCCTCTCTCTGGCTGGCTGAGTCTGGGTAAGGCTCTGCTCCATCTGAGCCTTAAGAATCTAAGCCAGAGGTAATTCAGGTTGGACTAGGGTGCTGACGTAGGGAATTAAAAACAGCAAGACGTCATGTCTTATGGAAACAGAATCAGTAGGACTCAATGAATATCACTCAGTTCTAGCTCAAATGCCACCTTCTCAGAGAGGCCTGCTGTGGCCACCCTATCTAATAAGATCATCCCTACACTTACAAGTTCACCCTATCTCATTTCATATCCTATTAATAGCCTATTTCATTTTGTTCATGACTCTTATCTGAAAGAATCCCATTTCTTTGCTTATATGTTTCTGATCTGTCTTCCCTTACCTTCTTTGTCCTGTTGTTGATTTAAAATAATGTGAGAGCTAAGGGAGAAACTAAGTCAAGAATGATTCCCAAGTTTCTGGTTTGGGCAATTGCATGGGTAGTGGTACCATTCACTGATATGGGGAACAGGTTTGGGGGTAGGGAAGAGAGCACTTACTTGAACTGAAGCACTGTGGGACCTTCAGGGAGAGATGTTAAGTAAAAGATGGGATATGTAGGTAATGATGATTTGGACTGGAGACGTTCAGTTGGGGTCAGTGGCATACAGAGGGTAACTGAAGCCACAGGGCAAATGAGACACAAACAGGGAAAAGTATAGAGTGAGAAGAATAGAATACCTAGGACACAGCTCTAAGGAAGAGCACATTTGAAGGGTCAAGTGAAGCCACCAAAAATCAGCACAGGCCCAGGGAAGGACAAGATCCCATGGCAAACAAGACCCAGAGAGTCCCACCCCGCAGGTATTTGCCTCAGGACCGAGTGGGTAACCACTGTTGAAACAAAGGCTCTAGAGCCCACACAAGTGGCTCAGTGTGTGGACAGCTGTGGCCTACGTCCAAATGGTGGTGGCTCACCTTATTGAACCTGGCGAAGGGGTAGTCTTTGCCCTCCTCAGCTGCTCGTCGCCAGTGGAAGAACATCGCTCCATCCTTGCGGGCTGGGTTGGTGAATGGCATCCACTTCCAGGGCCGTACCTTCTTGGAGCCCAGCTTGGCCTTCACTGTGCGGTAGCCTTGACCAGTGTCACTGGGCAGCAGTGGGGGTGCATCCCTGACAGCAAGGTGTAGGGAGGTGAGAGGTTAGCGTCTGAGGAGTGGAGAGAGCCCTTGGTCTACCTGGGAAGTCAGGTCCTGGAGAGAGATCTGAGCTCCTCCCGCCGCCTCTGAGTGAGCAGCGCCCTGGCCGGGGCAGAGACCCGGGAGAACTGGCGGAGAGCTAAACGTCAGGGACATGCAGTGGGTCGGAGACCAGGGCCTGGGGCTTGGGGCTCTGATACTTGCTTCTTGTCGGAGTACAGCAGTGCGTAGACCTCCCGGTGCATGCCCTCCGGCCTCTTGAAAGTCAGCGTCTCGGAGGACTTCTTGGACTTTTTCTGAGAAGGGAACCCACAGGAGCTGCACGCCTCCCCACCTAGACTCCCTTTCCTGAGAATTCTTTATCCCAGCTCAATCCCTGCACAAACCCGCAGCTACAATGACACACATCATAGTATGACAGAGAATGGAGGCACAGACACCCACTAACAAGGGCACCCCCTCCCCGGCCTCACCTCACTGGGTAGAGTCCAACCTGTCGGAGTAAAGATACTTGCCCACCACCCCTCAGAATGGCACACTCGCTTGGTCCTCTCATCTCTTCCAAGTGTCGCACCCCTAAGTCCCCATTTCCCACAGGTGCCCCACCCCCTCCGCCCCATCTCATCGAGGCAGCACATAGTCCCTGTCCCGTTAAGGCACACATTTACCTCCCATCTCACTAAAGTGTAGCACCCCATCCCCTCGCCCATCTCTTCCGCTGCCACCCCTCCCCACTTCACTGCCGCTACCCAACGCTCGGGCGCCCCTGCTACCTTGTCCGGGTTGATAATGTCCTTCTTGCTGATGGTCCCGGAGGCTGCATCCCCCTCCGGACCCCCGAGTTCTAGAATGTCCCGCACATCCGCGCCAGTAGCCATCGCGCCTGCAATGGGGGGAGCGCCCCGAGGTCAAGGGTCAGCGCCTGAGGAGGGAGCAGGCTCAGATCCGCGGGCAGAACCACTTCTGCCCAGGTGGGGCGGGGTGGCCCGGGTCAGGTCGGGATTCCGCCTGTGTCCCGCCGCTAGGGTCTCCCTAACGGCCCCATCTGCCTCCTAAGCCCCAGCGCCTCCGCACCTGTAAAGCCCAGCAGCCGCCGCCACCGCTCTCCGATCGATCTCTGCAAAGCCGCGGACAGAAACTTCCGGTCGTGCGCAGCAGATACGCGCCCGGCAGGAACACTTCCGGTCTGTGCTTCGTTGAAAAGGAGCCCTTAGGCAGCGCCGTGGGAAAGCTGCTGTACGCAGGGAGCGTGCCCGGCCCTTGGCTTCCCGGCCCGCCGGCGTTTCTGCACTACTTGCTTTCTGGCATTCTCTCTCTGCGTTGCATTTCCGCTGCATTTGGGGCAATGAAAAGAGTTCCCAGAACTTTGTGACCTTGGAAATCGCTTAATTTCTCTGAACCCATTTCTTCATTTGTAAAGTGGAAATTGTAATGGTACCTGCTTAAATGAAGTACAGCTAATCCATGTAAAACATTAACACCGCGCCTAGCACATTTAATTACTTTTTATTATTATTACTTGAGTTACTGGTGTTAATGTCCCCTGTTCATTACGCGCTGAGTATGTACCAGGCACTTTGCTAAGCCACTGGAGAGGAAGAGAGAAACCAGACAAGGCGGGGCTGCCACGATGGAGTGAGGTCTGGCCCCTCACCTGCACGCATTTGATGGAGGTGTCTGTGGGTGGGGGCCTCGTGGGGCTCTCCTGGAACCCAGCTTCCTGAAACTTCACCAGTCCAGGAACTAACTGTATTCGTGTGGATTACAAAGAGGACCAAGAACACGGCCCCTAGCAGGGAGCGGCTGAAAGAAATCTCTCTCAAGGGAAGAAACTTGGAGAGAACCAAGATGGCGGCATAGGTTAACGCCGGAGTTTGCTGCCTTGAACAACTACTTCAAAAGTGAAACCAAAAAACGGAACGGACATCACCCAGAACCACAGGAACGCCGGCTGAGTGGAAGTCCTACAACTAGGAGGAAAGAGAAACGCATACGGACACTCAGAGGAGGCGCAGTGCTGAAGTCAAATTCTGAGGTGCGGAGTGCGCGGAGCGGGCTGGCGGCGGAGGGCGCGGTTGGCGTTTTCAATCGGGAGGGAGTCGCAGTCTCTGAGCTCCAGATCCGGGCGAGTCTTTAGGGACCCAGACTCAAACGGGAGAAGCGGGACTGTCTGGCTTCGGTCAGAGCGAGTGCAGCTTTCTCTCTGAGCTTTGCAGCGGGTGCTGGGACTCAGAGAGGCAGAGCCCCTGGGGACAGGACTGAGAGCCGCCATAACTGCTCTCTCCGGCCCACCCTGTTGATCCTGTGCGACCCGCCCCGCCCAAGCCCTGCACACAGGCATTTGCCGGATAGCCTCAGGCAAAGGCTAGATTAGCACCTCCCTAGAGGACAGAAGTTCTCTCACTGCTGACACAGCTGATTCTCATAGCCACTTGGCCTGGAGGTCAAACCCTCCCTGGAATTAGCTACAACAATCAAGATTTAACTATAAGACTTCGAACAAAGACCACTAGGGGGTGCACCAAGGAAGCATAACAAAATGCGGAGACAAAGAAACAGGACAAAATTGTCAATGGAAGATATAGAGTTCAGAACCACACTTTTAAGGTCTCTCAAGAACTGTTTAGAAGCCGCCGATAAACTTAATGAGATCTACAAGAAAACTAATGAGACCCTCGATCTTATATTGGGGAACCAACTAGAAATTAAGCATACACGGACTGAAATAACGAATATTATACAGACTCCCAACAGCAGACCAGAGGAGCGCAAGAATCAAGTCAATGATTTGAAATGCGAGGAAGCAAAAAACACCCAACCGGAAAAGCAAAATGAAAAAAGAATCCAAAAATGCGAGGATAGTGTAAGGAGCCTCTGGGACAGCTTCAAGCGTACCAACATCAGAATTATAGGGGTGCCAGAAGATGAGAGAGAGCAAGATATTGAAAACCTATTTGAAGAAATAATGACAGAAAACTTCCCCCACCTGGTGAAAGAAATGGACTTACAGGTCCAAGAAGCGCGGAGAACCCCAAACAAAAGGAATCCAAAGAGGACCACACCAAGACACATCATAATTAAAATGCCAAGAGCAAAAGATAAAGAGAGAATCTTAAAAACAGCAAGAGAAAGAAACTCAGTTACCTACATGGGAATACCCATACGACTGTCAGCTGATTTCTCAACAGAAACTTTGCAGGCCAGAAGGGAGTGGCAGGAAATATTCCAAGTGATGAATACCAAGAACCTACAACCAAGATTACTTTATCCAGCAAAGCTATCATTCAGAATTGAAGGTCAGATAAAGAGCTTCACAGATAAGGAAAAGCTAAAGGAGTTCATCACCACCAAACCAGGATTATATGAAATGCTGAAAGGTATCCTTTAAGAAGAGGAAGAGGAAGAAAAAGGTAAAGATACAAATTATGAACAACAAATATGCATCTATCAACAAGTGAATCTAAGAATCAAGTGAATAAATAATCTGATGAACAGAATGAACTGTTGATTATAATAGAATCAGGGACATAGAAAGGGAATGGACTGACTATTCTTGGGGGGAAAGGGGTGTGGGAGATTCAGGAAGAGACTGGACAAAAATTGTGCACCTATGGATGAGGACAGTGGGTGGGGAGTGAGGGCGGAGGGTGGGGCGGGAACTGGGAGGAGGGGAGTTATGGGGGGGAAAAAAAGAGGAACAAATGTAATAATCTGAACAATAAAGATTTAATTAAAAAATAAATAAATAAATTTTTTAAAAAAGGGAAGAAACTTACTGATCGCCCTGGAGAGAAACTTCTGGAACAGGATGTCCGGAAGAAGAGTAGAAGGGATGACAGAAGCAGCTCCCAACTTCAGCTTCTGCAAGTCAGCCTGCAAACAAGGATATACAGTGGGCATTGAGAACTGGGGAGGAAGAGGGGCTTGTAAGGGCATTCAGGAGGCAGGCTCCAGCCAAAGCTTGCTAAAGGACCCAAGCAGGGGCTGAGGAGCAGACAGCCCACACAGGTTGGCTGTCACTGTAGCCTGTTCTGGCTTGGCGGATATAGGACACAGCAGCTGCATCCACAAGCCTACCCAGACCCCCAGACTTTGGAGAACTGAGCCTGGAGGCACAAACCTTGCCTTGTTCCTGAGGCCTGATTTCTGGGTGAATCTTCTGAACTCTAAACAGTTTCCAGGGAGAAACCAGGTCTTACAGCAGAAATTGCCCACAGGGTGAGGGAATGGTCCTTGGAGCTGGAAGCGGACAGAGCAGGGTAGAGGGGCCTGCACCTCTGCCTCAAACAGTTGACTCTACTTATAGTTAATTCATTGTGTAATTATCTGTTTAATATATATTTCCCTACTAGACTCATTTTTGTGAAGACAGTGATCATGGTACATAAATGTATGGATTGTCAGGCCTAGTTCTAGGCTCTGAGGATGCTGTGGGTGAATGACAAACAAATATCTCCTGGTGGGACTTATATTTAGTGGAGGAATAGAAACATTGAGCATATAAACAAAACAGATAATTCAAAGAAATGAAAAATTGAGAACTATCATTAGATACCATTTTTGTCTATCAGATAGGTGAAACTTTAAAATAGTTGTGATATGTATGGTGACAAGGATATGGATGAAATAGACAATCCAAGAAGACCACCATATTTTAACTAATCTAATCAACTGAAAGGTATATCTTCATGTATATTCCACTATGAAGAATGTTTTAAAACTCTATCAATTAAACCATAATATACTATTGATTATTAGATGGCTTCCCATTTCAGAGATGTTAAAATGTGTGTGTGTCTTGGGGCAACATTATGAATGTACTAAATGCCACCAAATTGTTCACTTTATTTTTTTTTTAAATATATATTTTATTGATTTTTTTACAGAGAGGAAGGGAGAGGGATAGAGAGTTAGAAACATCTATGAGAGAGAAACATCGACCAGCTGCCTCCTGCACACCCCCTACTGGGGATGTGCACGCAACCAAGGTACATGCCCTTGACTGGAATCGAACCTGGGACCTTTCAGTCCGCAGGCTGACGCTCTATCCACTGAGCCAAACCGATTAGGGCATCAAATTGTTCACTTTAAAATGGTTAATTTTTTTGTGTGAATTTTGCCTCAATAAATTATTATTTTGTAATATGTTTTTACTTATTTCAGAGAGAGGAATGGAGAGGGAGAGAGAGAGATAGAAACGTCAGTGATGAGAGAGAATCACCAATTGACTGCCTCCTGCATGCCCCACACTGGGGATCCAGCTTACAACACGGGCATGTGCCCTGACTAGGAATTGAACCGTGACCTCCTGGTTCATAGGTCGATGCTCAGTCACTGAGTCACACTGGCCAGGCTCAATTAATTATTTTTAAGTGAATCAATGAAATGTGGTATTCCGTCTCTTTCATGTGATAGGTAGGTGGAAGGTGAAGCAACTTGTACTTGGGAGGGTACACTGTAACACTCCCTTGGACACCAGATCTCCAGAAACATCACCGAGGTGTATTTCATGGGGTTTACCTTATTTCATTGAACCTAAGATGCTTTGATCTTGGCACATTCTTGATTTACCAACAGGTGGTAACAGAGGCTTTCCCAGTTCTCTGTCGCTATGTCCTCCTGCTGACAAGGGTTGTCAGAAGTCACTCATTAGCCTCCGCAGAGGAAGAAGGGCCACTTCTGCAGGCAAGGGAGGGCCAAGGGGTAGGATTTTGTAACCTCCGAGTCCTGAGTCATCCAAATGCTTTCCTTTCTGGTCACCGCTCCAACATGCACATGAGATCTGGCAAGGCTGTGAACGTAACTGATACTGTACTGCAGTATCTCAGTTTCACACTTTGGATTTGATTTTCAGTTATAATCAGCCCCATGGCTGCAAAAGATTAATTATTTTTAGCATAGACATAAAAAGTCAATGATTTGGGACTTACCTTGAGCCAAAATTTTAGGGTTTTGAGCTTGAAATTCTTTTTTCCTTTTGACTCTGTTCAGAGAGACACTCCTCTTCATTGCAGTTTGCAAGTCCCCTCTGCCCTCCGTAATGCACACTTCTCACCCTATAAAAGGTACTTGAGAAACTAGGGAAAGGCTGGAGCATCCAGCTCACAGATCAGGGGGCATAACAGGGTGGGGCTGAAGGGTGAGATAGGAAAGGTACACCAGGGGATGGAAAAGCTGTGCTGGGCAAAGAATTTGCATGAAGACCAGAACTGAAATACATTCACGTGG